ATACAATTAAATTACAAAGATTTTCCTAAGACTCCTAATTTCAGCAAATTGATCTTAGCAGATTTCAAACAGAAATAATTCTTTACACTTAGTCCAGAGATGTCCATGGCGGCGCTGCCGCTGCCGCCACCGCCACGGCGGCAGCGGCAGCGGCAGCATTTTTTTTTCGAGGACATTGAAAAACTGCATGAATTTAATAGAATTTCATTGTTTACAAATGAAACACCCCGAGACTGAATGAATCTGATGGACTAGTACCAATATTTCTGGTCCAATACAGTTGCAGCAGTGAAAATCGAAACACTTTTTTGAAAACCATCGCGGCAGCGGCAGCGACGCGGTAACTTTCTTTTTATAAACCATCGCGGCGCGGCAGCGGCAGAGTTTCAGCCGCGATGGACATCTCTGACTTAGTCGAATGAGATGATTTTTGTTTTCAGTTTTAAAGTGATTTCAAACTATTATTTTTAGAGTTTTTGAAATTTTAATACTTTCTTCTATACATATATAAAAATCGAAGTTTTGAACAGAATTCAAATAGTGATTTCATATCGCTTTGAAACTAAAAATAAACATTATCATTCGATTTAGTATGATGAATTATTTCTCAAACGATGGATTTTGTTAGAATTTATATTTTATGCATCACTCAAGTACATGTAAAGATGATTTTAGTTTGTATTTTGCACGTTCATTGAAATTTCAAATTGTTGCTACCTCATTTTCATACTCGTATGATACTATTGAGATTTAACACAGAAGTAAAGTGATGAGTACTGAATTCATTTTTTGATTTATGTTGATTTTAAAAATAAAAAACTATGAGTGAAAGAAAAATATAAAATTCGAAGAAAAGTACAATAGAATAAAGCTATATTTCTTGTTCGAAAGTAACTTCAAATCATGAGAGTTTCGCTATACAAAAAAACAATATGAATCTCTTCAGATTCAATTGATATATCATCAATAATTAATAATAAACTTTAATTTTTCACTTTTTGATAATAATTTTTGAATATTTACATCAAACATTTCACAAATTTGTTATTAAATAAAACAAGACAATGTTTTAATATTATTTCCCTTTTTCTTTTAAAAATTAAATTCTCTCAATTTTATTTGAATATAATAAAAAAAAAAAAATAAATCTTAATTGAATTTTAACAATAAAAATAGATAAATATGACATATTTAGTATTTTCATTATATTAACTAACTCAAATTAATTTAATCGTATTCTATAATCAGTAAAAAATGCCCATACAAAAACACATAATGATAAAACTATAATAGCTGCATATGAACATCGATTATGCCATGATGAAATATTTGGTTCATGTATAACACATATACTTCGTCTACTACTTGTATTATCATATGGAGGTTTATCTGAACTTATTGATTGTACATCAAGTTCATCAGCTTTTTCTAAACCACAAATCCAAGCAATAGCAATTTTGAAATATAATACAATGCCCGTAGAATTATCTAGAATACAAAAACAAAATAATAATTAATTTAAGATTTATAAATAAATTTTTAATACGTGTATCAAAAAATTCAAATGCTTTTTTTTCTGTTTTAGTTAGTGATATATTTGTATGATGTTGATTTGAATTTTCATATGAATATGGATGTTCTTCATCATAATATGTATCTGCTTTATACATACAACCAGGTCGAGTTGGAATTGTAATTGGTTTATCAGGATTATCAAGATCAAATGTAGTTAAACCTGATATCTATATATTAAATGAAATAATAATTTGTTTTCTTGTTTATTTTTACTTACATATTTATCTGGTATTGGTTTTGTAAGAAGACTAACAACAATAGTAACAATAGCTGATATAAAAAAAAGTAAAACAGAAAAATATAAAAAATTAAATCGAATTATTGTTGGACGTTTATCCAAATGTTCAAGTTGACAAGGCATTGCTGTATAAGAATATTCCCATATAAAACGAAACATACCAACAAATAAACCAGCTATAAGACCCCAAAAAGCTCCCTAAAATAAATAGATAAACTATTTGTATTCCCCCCCCCCCCCTCGCTCCGATAAATTATATTTTATGATTATTATTTACTTCTTCATTTATTCGTTTCCATAATACACCAAGTAAATAACAAGCAGCAACAGGTGGAGCTAAAAATGATTGAACAGCTTGTATATAATCAAATAATCTTGAACCTTGTGCTGCTCGAATAATTGGAATCCAAAAAATTGAAACAATCACAAGTATCATAACAAAAACTCTTAAATAACAAAATATTTTGCATCAAAACAAAATTCTTTTTTTATTACCTGCCAACAATCATTAATTCCCAATCAGGTGCATTTTTACGAAAACGTTGCCATATATCAATAGTAAATATAGTTGAACTTGAATTAAATATTGATGTTAATGATGACATTAATGCAGCAATCATACATGCTAATGTTAAACCACGAATTGCTGATAAAAAAAAGAACAAAAAAAAAAAATAAAAATTTAATTTGATTAGAAAAAAAAAAGAAAAACAATAACCATTAGGCATTAATCGAATAACAAGAAGTGGATATGCTATATCATTACAACCATTTCGACTATGACAAACTTGATAACATGTATCTGGATCAGTACAACCAATTTCATCTATAACATATGTAAATGATACAAAAAAAAAAAAGAACGTTTGCATACCAGGAAAGAGTATTCGTGCAACCATTCCTATGTAAATTCAATACAAAAAAAAAAAAGAACTTAAATTATTAAGAATATAAATTATTTACCAGGAAATACCATAAGAAATAATGGTAAAAATTTTAATAGGCCTGCAAATAAACAACCAGCTCTTGCATGTGATAGATTCTTTGCTGCTAATGTTCGTTGAACAATGACCTACGGTTTTTTGTTTTTTTGATGAAAATAAAAATTGTTTTTTTTTTTTTTTGAAATTTTATTTACTTGATCACAACTCCAATACCATGTTGAAACAATTGCACCACCAATTATTATACCAAACCATGGTAAATCAGCATCAAATGGACGTATTAATGAAAAATAATCTTCATTTGGAATACCACATTTAGTTGTACTATGTAATGTTGTATTAGCAAGAGCATATGGAAAAAAATTTCGTATTTGTTGAAGACCACCAACTTTTACAAAACCTGATTATATTAAAAAAAAAATATATATATATATATATTAATATTTTTTATATGTTTTACTAATAATCATAAGTATAAAAGCCGAAATAATCATAATTATTGTTTGAATAAAATCTGTCCAAATAACTGCTGTTAAACCACCTATGAAATTTATATTTTAATTAAACAATCAAAAAGTTTTTTTTGTTATTATATTTACCTCCAACAGTAAAAAAAGCAGCTAGAAGTATAAGAGCAATAACTGATGCATAAAGATTCCAATTAAGTGCTTGTTGAAGAAAAACAGCACCAGAATAAAGATCAACAGATATTTTTGTAAATATTGATAACATTAAAGCAAGACATGTTAAATATATTCGTATACGTTCACCTCCATAACGCATTTTTAAATATTGAGGCATAGTATATACCTATTGCAATAGATTTATTTTCAATTATATTTTTTGTTTTCGATATCATAAATGCCAAATAAGAATTTTTGAATACTGAGGCAAAATATAAATAAAATTCTCTTTTTCAACTACTATTTGAATTCATCTTAGTGTTTATGATTAGGAAAATATATTGAAAATTAAACCTAGTTGAAGAATTTTTGAAGATCTGTTTATATATATATCATTATGTACAATACCTCTGCTTTCATATAAATTGGTACAAATAACCAACCAAGTATCATAAGCATATAGATAGCCTATTATATAAAATATGTATATTTTTGTTCTTTTCTTTATTATTTCTTACTCCTAATTCAAAACCAGCAACACCTATACCACTTGAAGCACCTGAACCACTTAGACCAATAAAATGACCACTGCCGATGTTTGATGCAAATAAAGAAGCGCCCACCTATAGACATATGTATAATATTAATAGAAATTTTATATATATTTTGTAAATTTTACCGGTATAAAATGCATCGAACGACCAGCAAGAAAATATCCACCTAAATGTAGAAATATTATTTTAGTGTGTAACAAATGAATGTTTCTAGATGTCAAATTGCTTTTCATTTGAGACTATTGTCATTCGATCGATCATGATAAGTAGTAAAAAGAAAATCTTTTTGATTTAATTTTCTGACATTCGCTTGTTAAGTTATGGGCGTTTTATTTGGTTCTTGCTATAGGACTGCACATATCCTTCGTTTGTGAAATACAGTCCCAAATCGACGTTTCTTCGGAATGTAAATATCTTAATCAAGTAAAACGTTCTTAAACGAAGATTGAGCAGCTAAATTCAGCATAATCGATTGAATGACAATAATCTCAAGCAAAAATCGATAGAATAATTAAGAATGTTCTCTTATTAACTTAGATACAAAAAAGTTTAAGAAAGTTAAAATATTAAATGTGCGACATAATTAAGAAAATCATAAAGATTTGATCAATAATTTCTTTTCATAGCTATTAAATTTAATCATAAACTTTTTATATTTCTTTACCAACACTCCCACGATTTTTGCATGAACTCTAAAATTCAATAAATAATAATTAATTAGAACAAAATTTTTAATTTATCATACCCAAACTCCAAAACCAAGAATAAGTAAAAAATAAAGTAATAAAACTAATACATCCGACCAATGAAGTGCAGTTCCGATGACGGCAACCATGTTTTGATTTTAATTTAAAATGTGTATGTGTTTTTATCATTTTACCTTTATTTTCTACGGTATAAAAAGATCATGAATAGATCAACAAACATATGACCTTTTACTCAATAGAGATATTTCAAGGTTATTATTTTATTTCTTTCATATAAAAATTAACATCAATGATAGTAAATGAAGTAAAAAACAAAAAACAAACGAAATTGACATTTTTATTGAAATCAACGTTTATTATCATAAATATGTATTAATCTTTTCATTTTTAAAATAATAAAGATAATAAATATCATTTCCAATTCGTGTAATAAATGGAGCTTTGGTTAATTTTTTTTCAAGTTCAATTGTTAATTCTTTTGTTGATTTATCTGAATCAGGTTTGACTTGACGATATTGTTTAATAATCTATTAAATAATAATGAAAAAAAGGATATATTATTGAATTATACTAATATCAACTTAATTCTTTTTTAAGTTTATCAAAACTAATTGTTTCACTATTAGAATTTTGAACAATTGTTTGAATTCGTGTAATCCAATCAAAACTTGTTGTTGATCCAACTAAATGAATCAAAAAGTTCAAATAAGAAAAATCAAAAAAAATGTAAATATTCTCTTACTATCTATATAATGACTGTTCATTTTACTGCAATAGTTTGAAAAGGAAAAGTATGTATATATATTCAACTTTTCTTGATTACCAAAGATGAATCATAGATAGAATAGAACGAATATATAATAGATCAACATTTACATCTGATAGAAAAGAAATAGTCACGAGTATATTGGTTTTTTTGTCAAATAAATTTATCATTTCACTCTTTAATATTAAAATAGAGTAAAATTCAGTTTTTGATTACTTCTAAAGTTCGAAGAGTTTGCCATTTTCTTTTGAATAGTTATAATATTCGGATCTACCACTATGATTACGTCTTGTGAATGAAGAAGAGAGATTTTTTCTTTCTTTTCATCCGTAGTAAAAAATGCAGAAAAAATTTTCATTTAAATAAAATCATATTTATTATTGAAGTTTATTAAAAAATCACCGATTTATCGGGATTTTGATGGCATAGGTTAGAACACATCGTATTTTATGTGTATTGTAATCTTGATTTTAATTAAATGAAAATATTATATACTACTATTTAAGTTTTAATTATCTTTATTTAAAAGTGATATCTACACCGAGCAAATAGTTGTGTTTATTTGAAGGTTGAAACTTGAACTGAATTCAATTTTCAAATTTGACATATATGGAGGAATGTATGAATTATAATTGATATTTCAGAGATATATTTGAGAAATTTCTATTGTTAGTCATGCAAAACTGACATAAAAAAAAAGTTTACTTGAAGAAATAAAGAGCGCTAGAATTCTTATAAAAAAAAAATAAAAAAATATTTTTGAATTTGTCTGAAAACAGTGCAAAAGATAAAGAAAAATAATCGAAATATGATGTTGAAGTTCGACGATCTCAATCATATACACAAAACAAATGAATATACTTAATCATCTATACTGTTTGAATTCGAACTTTCTGATTTTATTTTTCAAACAAATCGCACACAATAACGAAATTTAAATGACTTAGAATGATATTAGTCACATGCTTCGTCCATAGATTATTCATTTCATGTTAATCATACCACTGCACTAATATTTTTCTTTCGAATTTCTCAGTTATTTTATTTTATTTTTTGTTTTGTTTTTTCTAAGTTAAATAATTAATTGATAGCTTTTCCAATCATACATAAAGTCATAGCTTTCAATATATTCTATCATAGTTCTTCTCTCTCACTGATTGAATATATAAGTTCTGTTACAGCTGAACTGCTCTCGCTGCTTCCAATGTAACAGCCATTCAACTAGAGATAGAGAAATATATCATTCTATCAATGAATATTCTCTTCTTTTTTTTTTTCATCATACCACATATTGTTGTTACATTGGAACAGAACGAATAATTTAATGCATGAATCAAAGGATTTTCTTTCCTGATTACTTTGCTATCAGCCTATTGGATAGTTCAATAGGCATTACCGAGAAATTCTCTTTATTGAAATATAAACCTTGATGTAAAAATATTTCATTGACGTAAATGTTTATCATTTGCATATGTATTGATTAGATAACTGGTGACGATGGTTCCATGGTGTTCTTATTAAGACAACGTTTCTCTACACACACTTGCGCACATCACTTCAACTAAAAATAAAAACAAGATATTCTTTTCTCTTCATTATAATAATATCTTCGAGCAACACAAAAAGAAAAAACTACAATTTCTTTTTTAAATATTTGAGCTTCTTCCACGGAACAAAAAAGATTTAATCATTTTCAGTTATTAAACGTTGTAAAGTACGCAATATACGTTCAGAAAATGACTGCGCATTCGAAAAACCAGCCTTATCGTCAAACATTCCAGCAATGTCGTGATATGAACCAGATAAGTTATGATTATTTGAAGAGGACGTATTTTGGTGAATTTCTACTACGCATACGGTCATAAGCCATACAAATGTTGTATTGAGTACAAGAGCTACATCCATATCCATACCTACACCCTACATGCACGACCACACTCATTCTTTACCGAAAAACATTATTTTTCAGATATAATAATATGAACAACAGTACCGCGCCTTGTAGAATGATGCTTACATCGAAGGAAAGCTTTTGAAGTTATTCTGTTCTCAATTAATGATTGAAAAAAGAGGAAATTTTAGTAAAATTTTGAGTATTTGTTTTCCAATAAAGAACCGTTTAAGGACGAACTAAAACTTAAGACTCATTACACTGATTTTATTCTTATCAATTTATTCAAAAAAAGTTTCGTTTATAACCAATCTCATCCCAAAAGTCACAATCATCCTTCAAATAGTTCTCTCCTATTTGAAGTGGATCTTGAATGTACATATATTTCTCATTTTCAGTCGTCACTCTTGGCCATGATAGTGGAACTCTCAACGGCTCATTGGGATCTTGACTCTTGCCAAAATTTGTCCAATACGTAGCCATACTTTGAGATACACGTCGACCGGCATCAGTAAAATTTGCCCAAGATGATTCAAAAAGAAAGGGTATTTCATCAGCATGACAGGCATGATCACTGCATTCTATCCGATTTCTCAAATTTTCCGTATCATATGGATAACCAAAAACGTAAGAATACGTTGCACCTTTTCGAGCGAAGACTCTAGTCGAACAAGCAAACACCCATTGTGTGGCAGCACGAGATACAAGCGGTCGTTGGTCGCCTGAACCGACTGGCGGATATTTCTTGAGAATTTTGAATGCCTTTTCCTGAAAAATGACTAGGGCTATTGCAATATATTCACTAGGCGAGATCGGTTTTTGCCATTTTCCATAAATAAAATCTCGACATTCTTCAGTGACTGTACCAATAATTAATGGTTTCAGAGGAAATGATGTATTGTACACAGTATCTATAAGTTGGCCATGAACAATCACATTGTCAATAACGGGTAGCCATGGTTCGAAGAAGAGCAGAACATTCAATGAAGTCAACATGCCATTCACAGTATTTTGAGCAGCAATGATGTCGTCGGTAGAACGGTTTCGAAAACATGCTATATCGCCAGTACCACAATGTAGTTGTTCAGCAAAGAGAACACTGGGTGTGACATATTCGAGGTATGTTCTATTCAAACAAAATATTTCTTATCATATTCATCTGATCGATGTACCTGAATGGAACTGTCATTGGTGCACTTTGGATAATTGCTCGCTGAAAGAATGGCTGCATCTCATTTGTAACATAATGCAGAGCAATAGACTGAGCACCAGCACTTTGACCGAATAGTGTAATCTAAAGATAGACTAGTTTAGTATAGTGATACCTTGAATATCTACTTGTTCAAACCTCATTTGAATCTCCACCGAATGCTTCAATATTGGCTTTGATCCATGCAATAGCCAGACGTTGATCGAGTATGCCATAATTACCTCTGATATCATTGGAACCGTTTCCGGTTGCCAAAAAGCCCAGTACACCTTTTAATTTTCATCGTATCCTTATATAATTATTTGAAGATAATTCGACATTTACCTATTCGATATTGAATTAGCGCAACGATTACATTGGTTGTGTTAACAAAACGTTCAGACTCGAAGATCGATTGTGAGGCCCAGCCAAACTGGAAGTCGCCACCATGAATGAAAATCATTACTGGTAAGAGACTCTTATGTTGTGAATCACCGGACAACGGTGTGAATATGTTCAAATACAGACAGTCTTCAGACATCTATCGTAAATACGCATGCCAAACTGTTACAAAAGAAATCATTCTCGATTACATATAAAACTTACAGTACTTGGAGTGACAATAGTAGTTATAGCACTTGCTGGTTGAGCACAAGCAGGTGGTGATTGAGTAGCGTTGATCACTTTGGGATACCATTTGGTGACAGGTACTGGAGGCTGCCATCTGTACAGAGATAAGTATAGTATACAAAAGTAAGTGCCAAAAATTTTACTAGATTAACCTCAATGTTCCAATAGGTGGTCGAGCAAATGGGATACCATAGAAGACACGAGCCGAATCAGTCTGATAACCTAATACATCACCGTACTGTGTATGAACAATCACAGGCTTACTGGCGCAAATACATTGCGCATTAAAAACTAGTATGAAAATAAAGATTACGAACATTATCATCCTGCCGCACAATGCAAGATGAATGTGTCTACCAAACATTTTGATGAATATCTCTATCGTAGATAATTGATAAGGAAGAGACGTATTTTCAAACGTAACACATCTTGTTATATTTGCACACAACAACAAAGTCTCATATGATGACACTTTGCAAGTGCACTTCGATAATTTCTGAAACTAGTCATTTTTTCTTCTATCAAAATCTGATACGATGAGTTGAATGTGATTTCGAATAATATCTGTAGAATATTATCATTTCGTGTGTATAAAATTTCACTTTATTTTTACTTTGGTATTAAAATAAATCTTGCAGATGAAAGTGAGGAAGCAAGTCGAAAAAAAATTCATTTAAGAAACAAGTCAGGGTGTGGGTGTTGATTTAGAGGATGGGAAAAGACACACTCACCCTAGCTTTCATCCTAATGGTTCGATAGTCCTTTTTGATAAGGTGATTCAAGAAAAGAACACAACATTTGAATTTTTCTGTACTTGTGAGTGATGTCAACAAAAGCAGCGTTTCTCTGTGTATGACACCCACATGCACGACTGTGGCTTGTCTGATAAGCGTACAAATGCTAGGCTATTCACCCCAAGATTTTTATCAGTACATAATCCTTATTATACATGTTCTACTTCTCAGTCAGGATGATAAACAAAAAGAATATGGCATGTCAAAAGGCGAACAATGAGGAAGTTTGTAATGTTGATCAAAGCTCTTGTATTGATTGGTGGGTTTCTTGAAGAAAATGCACTTGTTGTTCCACAAACTTTAAATGAGTGTTCTCATCAAACGATGATTCTTGCTCACAACGCCCAAAAGTTGCTGTAGGAACTTGTTGGCGTTATTTCGTCATCGTTTTTAGTTACGCTACAAACTGCACTTATGTTTTTAGATTAAATTCTATAGTCTACTAAATTTAGAATGTGCAAGAAGAGTGTTTTTATCGATCTTAGGTTAATGAATGTCGATGAAGGCTTAAGAGTTCTTTGATTGCTTGCTTGTTACATTTCAAAAAGTATCGATAAGAATATATTTAGTCCCATGATAAGAATCGGATTCGCTTCGCTCCAATATGAGTCTGAGTGGCAATCTGCATGAGCCAACATTGCAACTGTGGCAATGGCATATTGAGAGACTGTTTGTCCATATTCAAAATCAATTAAATTCACTGTATCTAAAGTATCATGATATCCATCACGTTCGAAATTTTCATGATAATTTATGTGTTCATTGAAGAGCAGACAAGTAAAACCATATTCAACAAACCTGACACCGTCAGTATTGTACAAATACGCAAAGGGATCACTCCATCGACGTAGTACTGGCTGTAAATTCTGCAAGATTAAATCGTTCTTGATTCGTGGATAAACATAATTAAGAGCTAATTCAGCCATGAGTAATGATTTAGTTGTATCTCCTGCGTTAACTTGAACAATAGGATCACTTCGATGGACACGATGACCTATCATATCAACAATGACGGCCGTATGAATCGGTTGCTTTTTTATAAATAATTGCTGTAGGAAATGGCTGATACCCAAACTAGCCGCGGGATATTCTTCACCTGTCATATGCACTAACCATATGTCACGGCACGCTTTTTCTTGCGTTTTTTTCAGTATCGAAGCTGATTGCAGTAAAGCAAGCATACCACTAACATTATCATCAGCACCTGGTGTTGACTGTCGTTTGCCCGTATCGGCGAATGTATCTCCTTCAAATGCAGTGTCGATGTGATCGATAAAAAGTACAGGTTCATGACACGTGTAAGATCCGTTAGCTGGTATGTAAGCAATAAGATTTGCTTGTGTAATATTTCGCCAGTGAAAAATCTGTTTTTCCGTCCGAATATCCAGTTTGTTGTATCGTTCAATGAGATAAGCGATCAAATCTAATAATTGATTATTGGTTTGTATAGAAGATTTACGACTCAGATAGATTTGTGTTGTATTTTCGTACTCAAGTGGATATATACCACTTAATCGATACATATCCGATCTCCACTGGTTTGCAAATGCTTTTGGCCATTGAAGTTCGTTATACCAAGCATCTGAAACCGGCTTTGTTTTTGATATGTCATTCGATGATGGAGATGGAATAGTATACCAAGAAATATTCGATGGCCAATGGAAACTATTGTTTTGTGTAATGTTGATAAACATTGTGTACGGTTTTCCATTGACACGAAATGGTTGTGGCAAGACAACACAGATGTTGTGATGTAGCTCCGGTTCAACTTCATTCAGTTTTTCAGGTGATAACCATCCCGAATAGATTGTCGTTGTTTGTGTTTGATTCAGAGAATCTGTATAATCTGCAGATGTCCATAGACAATCACCGAATACGGGTTTCATGTATAATGATGATAATAATAAAATATCGGTAAATATTTCAAAATGATGATCTGGATTTGATGTTATGAATAATTGAGGTAGATATGGTTCTGGATACTCAGATTCACTTAATGGAGAATCGAATGAAGATGAGAATTTGATCGACGAAGAATTCAACCAAACCCAGTTAGAGTCATTACAAAATATTCTAGCGTAAACCCATGTATAAAATCCAAATGCACCAAGAGTCGGCCATAATTCAATCATGGTGATATTCATTGATTTATGATGATTTATAATCGTTTGCAATTGGCTCTCACCAGCAGACTTCAGTGACTGAGGAATGTAAATTCTATTGGATGCCATCAAATCACAATTCACATCGGTTATATTGAATTCTAAATTAACAGGCTTACAACCAGTATACAAAGGAATATGTTGATCATCGCCTGAGATGAATGGCTGTAGATAATGAGTTTGAGTTGGAACGTACGAAGATAACGGGACTATACAAAAGACATTATTTTGCTTTAATAATAGGAAAAATAAGATCGTGCTTCGTAGCATGATTTTTAACTATGGCAATTTTTTATTTCGTTGGAAGTTGTTCTGCACTTACTCACCTATCACAAAAAGTAAATGCTCGACTATAGTCAAGATAAATGGACTTTTGACAAATATTAGCGATAACGTTGGTTATAGTATATGCAGAACTAATCTTCTTATATATATATACAGTACGATATTATCTATGCCATAAATCATACTACATATTGACTTTATGGTTAGCTGACAAATAGAAACGGAGCATAAGTGCATTAAAAGTCTCAAACATCCAATGGAAGTATATCGCTGTTCTGCTGAATCCTTTTTTGTTCTAGAGTCAAATAAAATGCATGAAAAAAGAATGTTTTTATGCTCAATAAAATGTCCATAACGCCAACAGTGTCCCAGGATTGAGGTTTGGAAATTCTCCCAATTCCTAAAAACACCAGCTAAAAGTGACATATCCCTCGAGGAACTGAGAACTGACCCTCAACCACTTCACGAAACCTCCTCAATCTCATCGATTCCTTCTCGTGAATAAATTACAATTCATTGCAACGACAGTTCCCAAACCACGATACCTTCTAATTTCCTCATTTCCTCCCGTGGGAATCGACCACCAACAATTCCTCAGATAAGGAATCAAGGAAATAACTAGAACTAACCGTCAATATTGATCGGAAGAACTGACACCAACATTAGCCATCATCATTCAAATTCCATAAGAACGACCCAGAAAACAACAATTACCACACAAATGCGAGGATACGCTGAGGAACTAAGGAATTGTGACAGTTCTGCTGATAGTTCCTAGAAATTGGGGTGGATATCTAGAAGGTTTCTAGGTATCCACCTTAGTTCCTAGGAACTGTCAGCAGAACTGTCATAATTCCTCAGTTCCCCGGCTTTTTTCTGTCTCCGGTATAATTTTAGTATCTAATGAATAGTACATCATTTCCTCATTTCCCAGGAACTGTCAGCAGAAGTTAAATCTCTCCCTAGTCTGTATTGTGCCGTAAATGAATCAAGAAAGCCTACCGAGAAGTATAGAGTTTATATCAGAAAAAGTCAAAAGCCTCATTTCTCCTCATTCTCTTGACATAGCCCCCACAGTTCTGCCCAGTTCTAAATGACAATTCCTTGGTTGAAATTTCGGTGATCAATGTCCCAGGAAAAATAAAGAATTATCCCTATTAGCAAAACAGTATACGACTGAGCTAATCAATCCTCCTTGAAGCAATAGGAACTTAGGATAGGTTCCTTCTAGGTATCTATCTCAGTTCCTCGGAGAATTGAGGTAATGACGTAGCACTTTTTAGATACTAAAATTATACCGGATATAGAAATAAGTCAGGAAACTGAGCAATTGTGACAGTTCTGCTGACAGTTACTAGGAACAATCAGCAGAACTGTCACAATTCCTTCGTTCCTCAGCGTATCCTCGTATTTGTGTGGTAATTGTTGTTGTCTGGGACCTTCTTATGGGATTTGAATGATGATGGCTAATGTTGGTGGCAATTCTCCCGATCAGTATTGACGGTTAGTTCTAGTTATTTCCTCGATTCCTTATATGAGGAATTGTCGGTGGTCGATTCCCACGGAATGAAATGAGGAAATGAAAAGGTATCGTGATTTGGGAACTGTCGTTGCAATGAATTGTGATTTATTCATGAGAAGGAATTGAGGAGGAACCGAGGAGGTTTCGTGAAGTGGTTGAGGGCCAGTTCTCAGTTCCTCGAGGAATATGTCACTTTTAGCTGGTATTTTTATGAATTGAGAGAATTTCCAAAACTCAGTCCTTGGACACCTCTCAGTAAATGACACATTTATTAATTGGGAAAGATTCAATTTCAGATTCTTATAGTACATTTTCTTCGAAAGCCATCTCTTTAGATACTTCAAATAGAACAAAAATTAAAAAATAACATACTAGCATAATCTGATAGACGATTCATATGAGATTTAAGAATTGAAGGTGAATGAAAGCGAAGATGAAAACAACTTCATACATTCACCCGCATACCGTATATTAGAGTATGACAGTTTTCAAAAATGCCTAAGGTCGGAACTGAAACTAGGTTTAGTTCCAAGTTTCCAATAATAGAAGTGAAAAACCAGTTCTGATTTCGATTCCTAAAAAGTATACTTGCCACCGTTAATCTAGTTATTATATAGGAAATAGTTAATATTTGTTCACTAGAAATGTCTTTAAACTCACAATGAAGATGTTGTCAATTAAACAAATGTGTCACTCACATCAAAGTTTTCAATTAGACATCAAATGTTTTCGTTCTTCAACCAAGAAAGATTTATTTTAATGCATATGCAAAAAGCATCAAAGAAACAAACTACAACAGTAAAGTTGTTTTTCAACTCTTTTCTAGAGACAAGTAAATAAGTAATTTTTTTTTCTTCTTATGAAGATTTTCATTCAGTGCAACAAACAAATGAAAAATTTATTTGTATCAAATTCATACAAAGATGACGTTATATAGAAGACTCTATGACTTAAAGTCAGAGTCAATATCTATGAATTGAATTTATCTTATGCGTGTTAAATTTTAGTGATTGTTCAGTTCTTCCGTTGAATGCTACAATTCAAAGAATAGTACTATGATACGCTGAACTCTAACGAAATAGCAAATTTTTAATAGTCAGATGATAAAAACTACATATGTTCTCTGGGTATTGTTTTGATTGTATCTTTCTATGCCCTTGATTAATTTTTATCAATGATTCAAATTTTAAACAGGTAGTATGAATAAAACGCTCTGCCTTTTTCTACCAATATAATTAAGTTATTCCTGTCAAGATTATGGTTTATATCAACAAATTGGAACTTCAAAGATTTATCATCATTTGAATTCTTAGTTTTAGAAAAATTACTGTTTATGATGATATACTAACATGCAATCAGACTCTTCTCCTAATTACCTTTCATTGCATTATTTTTTCCATTGATCTGCATGCGGACTGATTGATTTACACCTGTAATTTCAGGTAACTATAATAGATGAAAAGTGGTAGAGGAAATTTTTGAGAGTAGCTCCTGTGAAATCACTTGTCTTTTAGTTCAATACTATCTTATCAAAAACATTGACAGGATTATTGCAGAGAAAATATAGTAATAGACTCAGACCAGTGTATCGCTACTATTTTGCTTGAGTTAAAAATTCTTTCTCAATCGAAAATGATATGTGCTCTGACATTATTATGCAGCAACAGATGATTAAAAGATTAGAACGGATTAGCAACATAGATCTTAGTTTGTACCTTTTGTTTTACAAAGATGTATCTTGTGGAATTCATTTCCAACAATAAAAATAATCACTTAGACCAGTTTTTTTGATTGAAAAGAATGAACAATACAACGTACAAAGTATTACTCTCTTTTTCTACAATGACCTAAATTCTTCTTCATATAATATTTTCTCTTCTCATCAGTCATCGTCTCCTTTTTTTCTTTTTCTTTTTCTTTCTCTGTTCTTTGTCTTTCATATATCCTTTCAGCTGTATTCTTTTCTTCTCTTTTATTGTAATCTTTTTATTTTTTAATAGCAAATGCCCTACTACACGTGTGCTTTTATTACATGCCTACTGTCTGGTAACATAGAAAGCTATGCATGCTTGTCATTTTCATTTTGTATGCCTTTCTACGTATAAAAATAAACCGCGTAGGCACAAAAAACATGACTCTGGTGTATACTACGTTCTTTTTCCTCTCGCGACGTCCAGGCACAACTGCTATTTCTTTCATTCCTTCTATTCTCTTTTATACATAGAATATAGACTTTTTCTTTCGCAAGAACACAATAGAATTACAACACACCACCGCAAAGCAACAATAAAAAGACATTGATTTTAATTATTTTACATACGTGCATTATGGCTACTATCATCAAACAAAAGTCTATTACTATCAAATGTTCGAATCCATCAACAAACGTTGAATGTATAACATGTATGGCTGTTGAATCAAATGCAAAAGGATTTCTTGTCAATATGATCTGGATCTATTCGAATACTGCAAATTTGTCAAAAGATGATTTTATGCCATCCGATCAATTACAAGCTACTCTATCGAATACTCTCAATTATTTTCCTATATTAGCTGGTCGCGCTACAGAAGATGAGAAAGGCAACGTCACCATTCATTTGACAAATGAAGGTGTTCTCTATACCGAAGCAGAATGTCCGAATCAAAATTTAGATTATTTTATACCACGAACATTCCAAGACGAAGGATTTGATTATGAACATATCAATACAAGTGATTTAGCTGTAAGAGTTAAAGCCGGTGGTAGAGAACCTTGCATGTCGATACAAGTGACGCGTCTGAAGTGTAATAGCGTTATTCTAAGTATATCAGCTTCTCATTGTTTAATGGATGCACATAGCATGTCACATTTCATCAATGCATGGGCTTCTGGTAAGCCACCACAAATGATGCCGATGTTCGATAAAACTTTCATCTTATATCCTAATGAACAAGAACGACAACAGATAAGTTCTTTGAATAGACCAAAGGACTGTGTTTTCAATCGAAATATCACTCCATTATCTGGCTCACCATTCACTCAAGTACAACAACAACAACAACGTGTGATTTCCAGAGTTTATTTTTTCTCTGCCAACGAACTAAATAATATTAAAAAAGAAGCATCAAAAGACATATCAAAACCAGCTGATTACATTAGTACTTACGACGCTCTTTATGCTCATATGATTTTAGTGATAGCAGCTGCCACGCAAACTCCATTGACTGATAATATCAAAGTTTTACAATCACTTAACGGTAGATCACGTTTCGTTTCTTGTTGTTCATCAGCCGTTCTTAACTACTTTGGTTCATTTCCATTTTGGCTCTATGCTGAAATACCATCAGATCGAGAGCCAACTCTTTCATCATTAGCAGAACTGATTCATGAAACGTACTCAAAACAAACAGAACATTCGTTGAGAGAATATAATGCTTATTTAATGAGTGACGATGGTGATATAAATAAAAATCGAGTAGATGCAGATATAATTAATCGTGACTTTCATTGTGCATCATGGCGAAAAGGAAATCTGTTTGATGGTAATTTTGGTAATAGTGGATATCCTATCTACACTGGACCAACCAATCACTTGTATCCACAATATTTTCCGATGATGGATTCATATGCAAGAGATGGATCAGTTAATATTGTACTCGGGTTGAGAGAGCAAGATTATGAACGAATGATACAACAAAATATGCTACATAAATATCGATAAATTTTTTAAGATCTCGTGTGCTCGATGATTGATTGTCAAATTAAAAATTCATTTAAAAATAAACGATTTAATTAGATTCAAAGTCGATATTTCTATGTGGCATAATTACTGGGTAAAGATAAGAAAATACAGCAAGGGTGTGGGTGTGAAGGCTGTGATACTGTGAATTTGAGTGTACAGAAGAAACTTAAGTTTATACTCAACCTGGTATCTATTATTGAATCTAGAACTTCAGTCATCCTTGTGCTAAGTTGAGTCTTTTCACGGTACCTTATACAGAAAGATCTCATCTTAAGTCTGCTTAGAGTTTGAATTAAACGACAGAGATAGTTAACGATATATCTGATATGCAATGAAAATAAAACCGTATAGAACAATAGTAGAGAAAGAAAAACAAGTATTTAGATGCATAAAAAAGTAAACTGTTTGGATAGATAGTCATATAATCTGAAGAAACTTAGAGATGTCTCTTTTATTAATTTCAATACTTATTGTAATGTTTTGTCGATATAATAAAAATATGTCAATGAACAAATGAGTAAAAACTTGAAAGTAAAACAAAAAAAAAGTTTTATATTTCATAATGCTCTCACTAATGTTGTTCTCTGTTGCACAGCACCATTCATTTCATTAAATCTGTTATTCATTCATTCATATTTTTGTCAGAAACAAGATCAAAAAATATTAAAAAATTCGAATGAAAAATATTTACTTTTTTATTAGTTAGTCTTCTAATGTCTTTTCTTGTTTCCTATTCAGTGAAGTACATTCATAATTGATTCACTTTGATTGTATCGTCCATACCCTTTCATAAGCATTTTATATAATTTTAGATTTACAATTGCCAAGATAATCTATCTATCGGTTGCAAATGAAAGATGATTATTTATACGATGTTGTTATAAATATAGTTAATGAAGCAAAAATATGATAAAATGTTCGAATGAATGATCATTTACGTTTATAATATTGTGTATTTTATCCGACTTCGACAACAGTAATAATTTGTTGAATGATTTATACATGTAACATGCAATTAGTTTATTTCTCGCGCTCTAATTTCTAAGGAAAAAATTTAGAATTCTATGCAGAGCGTATTGTCATAATTATTTCTCACTTTTTGTACAGTACACATGGTAACAATCGGCTGTCACATATTTTCTTTTTAATTTTTCTTAATGTTATTTCTTTTTTTAGTTACCAAAAAGAAAAGAAATTCATTAGGTTATTTGATTTACCATAGACAGGCAGCTTGTTTGTAAGTTTTTAACAATGTCAATATTGATTTTTTTTACTTGCATGCCTCGCGAAAAATCGATTACTTTGCACTACATCCTCCAAGAGAGATAGCATAAAGATGTTTGTTCATTTTTCTCTCGATAACATTGATAAGTATGCGTAAAGTGAAAAGAACTTCATTAACAATGAACAAAACAATCATTCTAAAATAAGAATACAATCGTACGTAAAAAAAAAATAACACACATTTCACTAGAAAATAAAAATTAGTGAATGCCACCAAAATATTCCAAAGCTGTTGGCACAGCACACTATAAACTAGTTAGTGGAAAGTCTAAATCTTCTGGAAATCATGGAACAAAGGTATCAAAAAAAGTTCTGAAGAAAACATCGAAAAAATGAAAAGTCAAAAAGAAGATTCTTCACACACGACAACGTCGGCCTGGTGTAGTTGAAAATTTTATCATTGTTTGGTTAGACTCAAACATTAGTTTATCCGACATAGACTATTGAAATTTGATTAAACAACTATGACATATCGTTAATTCTATTAATTCATTCACACTGATTAAACAATGTATTGATTTTCTCAATCAAATCAAAAATGAAAAAGTCTTTATGATTGTATCAGGTATTATTGGAGAACAAGTCGTACCTATTATTGAAGATTTACCTTATCTTGATTCAATTTATGTATTTTGTTGCAATAAATCAAAACATAAACTCTGGGTTTCTAAACATCGAAAAATAAAAGATATTGTTACTGAAATTGAACCACTTTGCGAATTGTTAACAAATGATTTCAAACAATGTGATAACAATTTAATGTCAATTAGTATTTTATCTAAAGTGATTGTCCAACACGTGATTTAAATGCTTTATATCCATCATTTATGTATTCAAAATTACTTAAAGAAATCTTTGTGCAAATCGAAGATGATAATCAAGCTAAAACAGAACTTGTTGAATTTTGTTGTAATCAATGTGAAGATAATCAACATGAGTTAATAATAATTGATGAGTTTAAGAACACTTATTCTCCTTCATTAGCTCTTTGGTGATATACAAGAGAATGTTTTACTTACACAATGTTGAACAAGGCTCTTCATACTCAAGATATTTCAAACAACTTCTACCTCTTTCTTACACCCTATCGATTAGATATATTGTCTGTATTCTTTTTCTTGTTTGCAGTGAAAGGTCAAACAAGGACAATTTTAAAGTTGGAAAAAAAATATATATCCATATATATATTTATATACTTAATTAATAAACTATTAAAATACCACCAAACTATTAATTAATATATAAGTGAATATAAACCGTTCTATCTGACGACACCATCACCATGCCACCAAAAAGAGGCGGAGGTGTGCGAGGAAGAAAATAAGGTGAACAAGACAATCCAAGGACAGGAACAACAATCATCAAATATGAGACAGCAATTTAGAATTGCACCATCGATTGTTGAAGTGGACTCACTCACCGAAGTTAAAATAAACCCCCGGACACATTAGAAGACCCCCACCCCTATAGTAGAGATGACCCTCCCTTGAATCAACGAAGAGAAGGATAGATGAGAAGACCCACCCATCTCCTCTGACGATCCCCTTAGAAGCAGGTGAGCAGGTCCTCTAATCTATCCTTTGGGTTGTTGATTCAAGAGAGGGTTATCTCGACTATAGGGGTGGGAGGTCTTCTAATGTGTCGGAGGGTTTAAGTCATCTCATCAAAACTCATTTACCAGACACTAGAGTTATGAATATACAAGCAAATCGATCAAATTCGTTTATACTTTATGCAAATGATGTAATCTCATTCAATCAATTACTGATTGAACTAGGGGTGGGAAATTACCGTTCCCAGTTCTCGGGTAACTGGGAACTTTTTCGTTCGCAGTTACCCGATAACGTTAACGGCTCCTTACCGTTCCCGGGGGCGCAGGAACGGTCAGGAGAGTGTCTACCGTCATCAGACCCGTAGTCCCCGTCCTCAAGTCCTACTCTTGGGGGATACCCTTGGGTCCTCAAGTCCCACTATTGGGGGTACCCTTGGGTTCTCCAGTCCTACTATTGGGGGTACTCTTGGGTCCTCAGGTCCTACTATTGTGGGGTACCCTTGGGTATGGGTATGTGGGTGTGGATGTGGGGTGTGAGTGTGGGTGTGGATGTGTGAGTGTCGGTGTGGGCGTGGATGTAGAGTGTGGGTGTGTGGGCGTGGGTGGGTGTGGATGTGTGTTTTAATCGTCCTTTCACGCAGAGATACTCACAACCCCACACCGACACCGACACCCACCCACACCCACACCCACACTCACCCACACGCTAACACCCACACCCGCAGCGGTAGCGGCAGCGGCATCACCACCATGGGCATCTCTGGTCCTGACATTCCAAGAGCATAGTATAGACATACTTGTTCTATCTTTATTTAGTATGTGTTTTGTTGCTTTAGATATATTGTGACCATTATCGTTTTCTATACACTCGCCATCTGGAATTACTGCTGAACTTTTCGTCGATCTATTGCTTATTGAAAGCGTACGTTCTGAAGTTGCAATAGTAATATATAGGCTGACCCAAATTAGCCTCACGAGGACTCTGTTGCAAGTTTATTTTCTGTATAGCTCTTTAGTTCGATCTCATAATTGAGCTACATACACTAGGTAAGAATAATCAGAGAAAAAGCCCGCTATCAGCCTCTTTTTATAAGAATTTGTCAGAAAACATACGAATATCTTGCGTAGTCTCTTATAGGACTGGTACATGTGTTTTCTGTTGTGTAATTGGAGTCATGTCTCTTTTCATTATATCTCATTTTTGAGTAGTTTGCTGCGTTACAAATCTGAAACAATATAGAGATATACAGAATTGAAATCGCCCTGTGTATTTCGATACAAACAAAACAAAAGATAGATACACAACACCACAAGAAAACTAAAAAATTCTGTTACTGTCACATAAGAATGCATGTAAGACGTGCATATGTTTATCAACGTAACCTTTTAGCCAAAGGCTGATAATAGGCTCCTTCTTTGAGTATTGTTATCTATTGCCTGCTTCAAAAGCGAAGAGGGGTGAGTATTTTTTTTTAATAACTTGCGATAGGAGTAGCGCAGAGACCTACCGTTGTCACCGTTGGAAAGAGGCCTATTCAGCGCATTGATTTATATGAATTTGTTGAGATTTATTTCATAAATAAGTAGTAATTCATAGCCATCTTGAAAGAGTTGACTGTTGCTCTATGAGGATGAAACGAATCTGAAACTTTAGAGAGTGCACTAGAATCGCCAACTGCCAGACTACACATCGGGAAAAGGCCGAAACGTTCATCTCAATTCGTTTAAAAGTTGTGAGTCGAATACTAAAGGCATTTGACCATCTTTTTGGTAATTTTACCATGCGAGTAGGTATTATGTGGGCGTATGATGTGTAGGTGTGGGTGTCTGTAGTTCTTGCGTAAGGCAACACCCACACGCACACTGATATTTTGCTGTTATCCCTACACCCACATAGCCCTACACCACATTCAAAGCGAAAACCACTGAGACTTCAATTTTGAAGTCCAGTGAAGTCCTATGAAGTCTCTTAAAGTCTCCTAAAGTCTTTTGAAGTTTTTAAAGTCTTCTGAAGTCTTTCGAAAATTTGAACTCTCTGTTGGCGCAGCTCTTGGAAGTCTTTGGAAGTCATGAAGTCTGAAGCCCGCTGTTTAACCCTTGCCTACACCCATTCACGCCAACATCTACACCCACATCTACATCCACAGCCGTAGACACCAACACCATAGGGTGCGGGTATCGGTGTGAGTGTGGGTGTGGATGGATGTGGATCTGGGTGTAGAATGTGGATGTGGGTGTGAATGAGTGTGGGTGGATGTGGGTGTGGGCCGTATTCTGAATTCATCCCACACCCACACCGACCCACACCCACTCCGATCCACACCTACACCCAATCCCACACCCACACCTACACCCAAACCCACATCCACACCCACACCCAATTATGACCATATACAGACTTCGTTAATCTCAGCGTGGATACTGAAGTAATACGTTTTTGTAGAATTACCACGAGCGCCGTTTGCTTCTGGTCTCTCTACAGTGAGGGCCCAAACAAGCATGCACTTTTTTATTTTTACACATAAACGAATAATAAGAATGTTCTAAAGTTTTCTCTTATATCTAATTTTGTAGGGCGTTTTTCGCTGATCATTTTGGTAAAAAAACTTTTTAATTTTCATTGAGTAATGACAATATTATAGTCAAAATACTAAACACTAGTAAAAAGTAGAGAAAATTAGCACACTTTTAGTATTTGACTAATTTTTACGTTATTTCACAACATCTGTTTGCGATCATTTAAAAATATATACATTTGACTTGAAAGAGCATCATAAATAAAATTTATTAACAAACAACGATAACGTGAAAAGAAGAAGAAAAGTAAATCATTTGATTTTGATGTTAATGCTGTTGCATGGTGAATGACGGTTGACAATCTATTGGATGAAAAAGAATTACACGGCGAGAGAACAAATTTTGCTCTCACGAATGGACAGGTGAGATAGTTTTTATTTGTTCTGAGAATTGCTTCCTATTTTCGCTATATTATGCATATATTTGTATGCTGAATAGTGATACGAGTAAACTAAAGACGATTGTCAACAATGAGTTCGATTCATTTAAAATGAATATAGCTAAAATTTGCCATACAGAAAGAAAGAAAGATACTCCTGAATGTATATTGAACGATAATAGGCATGAATCATCCGCTGTTTCTGACTCTATGTCTTGCAAAGAGCTTTGTCAACAATTATTGCTACAACTTGATGACTTGCAGTTGACACTTAATACCTATGTGACCCAAGAACAAGCTACTTATGAAGAATATATGAATGAAGAACTCTTTTGGCACTTGATAGGACGAACCTTGCAGACATTCAACAGCACTTTTTCTGTATGCGAACAAGAACCGATACTCGCTAGCGCTTTGCTCGAAAACAGTAAAGAAGTTTTTGTCGAACTACGGAAATTGTATGACCTGCTCCATTTTTCAAAGGAATCTATGTCAAAAGATTATCCCGAATTAAGATATGAACTAACACTTATGGAACGTAAAAGAGAATTTGGTGTCAAAGGAATTCGGCGCCGAACTCTGAATGACCTATCTAGGGAATATTCAGTCCCATTGAAAAATTATCTTCAGCGATACATCAGATTTCATTCTCAGATATCTGTGCCTGGTTTGTGTCTCGATATTGATGCATTGTTAATTCGAATTTTCGGTCAGCAGAATATTTCGCTTTCAACAGAACAGCGATCAGCATTCACGCGAGAACTCTCGAGTCTCTCCATTCCATTGTCCATGGCTAAATTAAATGTGACTGGCAACGATTCTTATGATAAACTAGATATTCGAAACCTAAAAACACCGTTTTTACCTTCAAAAATCATTGAGCTAAATGGCTTGATCCTTCTATACGATTTAGAATCAGAAATACAAAAGGAATGGTGGTTCGTCTTAATTGGAAATCCATGCACTGGAAAAACAGCATATGTACGTTGGTTAACCCTACAATTCGCCAAAGCCATAAATGAAGAGAAGGAAAGCGTCTTCGTTCGCGACATTGATATGGGATGCTCACGTGTTCCTATTTTGATTCGTATTAGTGAGTTCATCAAATGGCTTAAACAGAACCCGCACATGGAACTCTTTGATTTTTTCGGACAACACACGTGGTTTGGAGATGCGTATTGTTCAAGTCCACAAGAATGCGACATGTTGAAAAAATTTGTGCACCATGGACACGCATTTATTATATTTGATGGCATAGACGAAGTAGGAACTCTTGAACTTCGTGCTAAAGTGTTGGAGTTTGTAAGCAGATTTATACACTCATACACACTCACTGCGGATTATATATCACCGTCAGATAATCCATCGATGGCTCAATGTGGACTTTGGAGAAAATTCTGGAACAAAAAAAACCGTACCGCAGACAATGTCGTCATCATCACGGGGAGAAGTACCGGCTATGATACTCAGCCATTGAGAGGATTACA